TGACGGGGATACAAACCCGCGACCTTCAGATTGCGAGTCGAGTGCCTTAACCACCTGGCCATGCCGGGCCCGCACTCTCTGAGAACAATCGATAACAATAAATATTTCTACGTTTCCTTGAGAGTTTCTCTATTTTCGCAATATTCACAAAATTTTCCATTCTAAATTTTGAATGTCATAATCGAGGATGGACGCTGTATATACGATATGTTTGAAAAAATGACATTTTTCATCCTCTTATTTGCACTATTATCAGTATTTAAGATTAGTTGAGAAAGGTTCGAATTTTGCTATTTTATTTCCGCATTGGGTAACCCTATACAGTCTACTCTACTTTCTGTAAGATTCTAAACCTGTAAATTTGGACTTACGCAACTGCATATTGTATGTCGCGGCTAACTTGAGGGGAAGGGGGGGGGATTGAACATTCCACTGATAATGTAGAAGACGTTGAACATTATCATTCTTATTTTCCCCTTTAGTTAATGTTTGCACCTGCATTTCACAGTCTATCACAAGACCCTCAGAGGAAGTTATCGGTATAATATGGGAGTAAATGCACGTGGGTTTTTAATCTTGTCATGCCTCTGGCTGCAATATGTGACGTCATGAAGACCATCGATAAAGGAATTACATAATAGTCTGAAGAGTACAAAATATAATATATTTCTCATCAGCACATCGCTGGGACTACGTTACATGTATGCTTAACTTGTTTAACCAAATGTAAGATTTACTTCTCCTACGCTGCCAGCCCATTCAAAAATGTAAATATATTTTTATCCAAAAAGCTATATATCAAGTAGTTTTCGGTTGAGGGTCCATATGTTCGTTGTATCACTAAATTAAGCAATTTTTAGTGATTCACCAGACGCTCTGTTTAACCTTTGTTGATCCTAGGTGGGGGGGGGGGGGGATTAACATTGAAACTTACGTGCAAGGGGGCAGCTTTCTCTGTTAATGAGCTTCAGTGTGGTATTCAGGCTGCTTATCCTCACGGTAGGTTTATTTTACCCTGCAGTACCACGATATTTCAAGTTCATCTATATAATCATGAGTATCCACAGAAATTTCTCTAGGGGAGTGGCAAAGTCTAAAGCAACATAATATATATACTGAATGAATAAAGAAGAAAATATGTTTCTCATTTTCCGAGGGAGGCCAAATGTCCCCCCCCCCCTGCAGACGCCCATGTATGTAAATATCATTTTCTAGTTGTTATTGTTTTTTATTATCATTGTTATTTCTCTAGATGTATCTGTGCTTCTATATTATTTTCTAAAAGCAACGCCTACTGCTGTAAATACATCATAGAATAAAAGTGTATCACACCTTCAAAGTATTCAATATAGCTTGCTTTCATACAAAATTAAGTCATTTTCGGTGGAAAATTCAAATTGTAGAATGATTTATAAAAGTTAATGTTTCCTAGCGGACTTAAATTTTTCTTAGTTAAAATAACATTAATTAACTATAACAAAAATAACTACAGTAGGAACATTAATATTAATGTGACAAATAAGTGAACTTATATATATATTCGAGAGATCATAATATACAGAAGAGGTGATTCATTATTTATTTATATTGTTCCATTCTTTCTGAGTAGCTTCTACTTAACACCTAAACAGGTGAATGGACTTTGTAGGCGCCCAAGGGAAGTTGAAAAATGGAAAGTAAAGTACAGTGGAAGAAGTGCTCCAAGCAGTGTTAATGCCCGGGAATACCCTGGCCTTACAAGTTTCTTTAAGTTCTATATAAACGCATAGTTGAGTTCACTGGTCATGATGACCGGAATATTTCTTATTTTTCTCCATTCAGAAATTTCTGTAACAATCCTGCTGTACTAAAGGCGATATCAAATTACTACTATGAAAAAAAGAATTGTTCTTAAAAGCGAAAATTGTTAAATATTTATCGTGCATGGTTTAGTTTCTTTAATATTATATAAAGAAATTAACTTAGGATTCAATTCCAATTATAGCATGAACTTGCCAATAGAAACATAAGAATTCATTTTTTAAAACGTGACTTTACGAAATACATTATAATTTGTAAAGAAATGCTTTACATTTTTATGTTACAGTTTTGTCGCTTATCGTACACAACAACTTTACCCTTATTATTAAATTATACAAGCACGTAATTAACACCTGCCACACGAGCCAGCCCGGCATCTTGATGTGGATCAAAGAAGAAGAAGAAGAAAAAAGTCATTCGGGAAAAGTTTGGATTGCTTTGATTACACAAAAGGAAGACGTTTGGCACCATTTACGAGGTCTAGGTCGTTAGACCAGACCCGTGACCTGATCCAGGACTATGAGAGTCAACATGAAAAAAATTAACTTGTAATGTAAAGTAAAACAATGTAGAATGAAACATGCTGGAAATGTTCTAGATGTGGTTGTGAATATGATGGTTTAAGTGTAGTGGTTAAGCTAAATCGTGGGTACAAGTCGGATAAGGGAAGAACTTATTGGAAGATATCCCAATCGATTTGAGATAGCAGTTGAATCAGAAATTTGTCAATTAATTACTGCATTGACAGCGAAACAAAAACGGACACAATAGTATCGTTATCTCCATAAAAGGGGATGGCAATCAAACATAAGAAATCATTAATTTCGATATTGTGTGAAACTAACGGCACAGTAGAGCCCAAAGATGCAGTGTTGAAGTTGAAGTAGATGCACGATGCATTACCAGATGATTTTCTTAGCGATTCTCATATTAAAGATGACATTTCTACAATGAAAAGTAAATATAAGAAGGATGGTATAATGCCCAGTATTGTACTACAATATTACAATCCGTATAGATTTCATCATCAAGTTGTGCCGAGCTTCATTCGCCCAGATCTGTTGAAATAACCCTAACTCACTGGTTCCTGGAATGATCTCCATGTTGACCATCTTAGACTCAGTACTAAGAGATGCTGGTATAGTTCGTGTGGCAGATGTTAAAAAAGTTTCCAAGTAATAATGATTATATCTTCTAATTAAGTGTCACAACTAATTTCAAATCAAATTATCGAAATATAGATATATTAATCGACGCTTCTACAACTCTGAATACCTTCAAGATAACCCAAGTTGATACAAAGAACTCAGTGAAATGTCACAAATACTGTACGACTGCGTATGCTTTACTACCACAAAACGAATAACAATTATAAAGCTGAATAATAGGACACTTTTGATATGTAAAATGACAGATATGATTAATTTGAAGAGAGTCTTTTTGAAATTACAGGCTACATGGAAGGCAACCATTTAACAGCACTCACCAACAACTCTTGGGATTCTCTAGTCTGATGGAATTGTGAGATTTGACAGTCGTTCTTACATCGCATCTGGAATTCTAAAGTACGGAGCGGGTTGTTTGCGCAACAGAACGCGAACAATGAAGTGCGGAGCGGGTTGTTTGCGCAACAGAACGCGAACAATGAATTCACAGTTGGGACACGCTAACTACATGCTCACGCCCAGGAAAGTGTGCAGTAAAGCAAGAAACTTAGTGTATTAAATTTGACACGAAATTTTTAAATTTATACATTATTCTATTATATTTACGCTAATAAAAAATCCATCTTCTCATTCGGCTGAAAGAAATTTTATATAATGTTTTATGAGTTATAATAAAGTTACATAACAAAAAAAAAACCTAAATAGAGCCACTTTTATTGAAAAAATTGAATGCAGTACATAAAATGTGACGTATTTCTTTAAACAAAGCTTACAACAACTCGTTATCATTACAGCGATATGCTCGACAAATAAGAACATCAGAGTATCTTTGATTTTAACGCTGTGTTTTCGGGTACTTATCTCACTGGTATTTAATTTCATCTGCCATGGCGTGTTAGTATCTTTGACTAGGCTCAAAATATCATTGGTCTCAATGACGCGAATTAACTAAAGCCTGCTAGAAAGTTCTTATCTGTAGTATCACTAAAATAACCTGTCCAGCTTTGTTACTTGCTTGGTACCTGGAAATCTTCACACTGAGTTTGTACTGGTTGTATCTTTATTATTGATTTTCTTCTTTTAAGATGTTCTAAAAATATCCAGTTCCTATTTTTGGACTGTACGATACTCAATAAAATGGCAAATCAAACTTTGTGAACAGATACATTTTTTCATCCATTTGAGGTTACTAGTAATATTTTTGCCTAATTGACGAAACATGATATTACTACGTTTTACAAGCCAACTTCACTCCTTGCTTTCTGAATAGTTGTGTTGTAACGGTTGATATCGTCTGGTAGTTTCTTTTTGTATTATTCACTAACAATAATGCTAAGTGTAATCCAGTTATTTGTAGAGAATTATTTATTTGTAAGTGAAAGTTTTAGAACTTACAGTTTATGAACTAGCGATAGGCCTAACTCACAAAATAAAACTTAACAGACACTTACTTCTTATATTTCTGTACCCCGGAGGGACAGCGGCAAGTTTACGGACTTACAACCCTAAAATCCGGGGTTCGATTCCACGCGGTGGACACAGCAGATACCTCAATGTGGCTTTGCTCTAAAACACACAAACAAATATAAATTTCTTCTCACACAAATAAAAGTTACAACAATGAACTGACTTACTAACTGACAAATTAAGTTAATATTTAATTTTGGTGTTTTTATTTATTTTTAATGTTTTTCTCATATCTCTTGAAAATTGGAAACGTCACGTCAAATATGGACACTCAGGCAATTTCTGGGCATCACCTGCATTACTATGTCATACCAAAACTCCCTCTAGTGAACAATATAAAACATCCAAATTAAAATAGTATTAAAAACAAAGCCTACAAAAATAGATATGTTCTCATATTTTCAACGCCAGAAACACTAAAACTGTCAAAGAATAAAAGATATCACAATAAGCCCTGTATCATTACTGGACTTTCTTTGGTTGTTATAAAATAATAATACTTGCTCTCCTACAAAAAAACCAACCACTGTGAATTTGTTACCATTTTTCTAAAAGTTTGAATTAAAATAATTCAGATGATTTGTAATTGAACAAAAAAAGGTTAATTCTTATTAATATTCTTTAGCCCCAATCATTATTTTTCACTGGCTTCACAATTATCTGCAGCAGAAATTTATTTTGTAAAACACTACAAAGCGAAAGATGTAAAAAAAAAAAATCGGAATAAAACTTAACGTACACGACACAGGATCTGAAGTTCTAACATTATATACTAAAACGTTTTTATAACTAGAAAATTCACTTCAATATATATCATTTTCCGCTAAACAGTTTTAACAAGCCATTATTGTTCGCTAGGGCGTAAAGTAAAACACATCAAAAATAATAACACATACAAAAATATAAAAAGGTGCAGAAGACTTTAAACCCCGTATTGCAACATTGGTGCACATCCTTCGAAACAACTGTAGAAACCTAGCTGAATAGCATGAAACAAAAATTATGAAGAGGGAGAGGGTAAACTATGGCGCTTGGAAATACAACACATAATAGCAAAAATAAAAAGAATATACATTCTGGACCCAATCTATCTTTCAAGAAATATAACACCCAAAACTTGCCGAATCTAAAGTTATTATTTGATGAACAATTAGTCTGTCTAAGAAGAAATATGAAAATCACAGGCTTGTATTTATAATAAAGCAATTTAGAAACTCTTTGAATGTTGTGTGTTAAAACCATTAAGTTTTAATGACTTTTATTTTGAAACACCGACAATTTTTTAAAATTTCCAAAGTAACAACTCTCTTGAGGACATTGTAAAGTACTACAAGTTTTGAAATGTAATATATCCCCCCAAATGTTTAACTGTATATTATTATTAAATATATTATTTATAAGCTAAATAATGTTCAGTTTTATTGGCGGTTGTAACTGGCTCTATCGCAGTAATAACTAGATAAGTAACACTGATATTCTGAAAGATGTCATTGTTTATTGCTGTAAATTCTGCATTCAATCTGAAAGTGTGAGAAAATTTTTAAGACAAAAATGGTCGTTGCAAACTCCCAAATATTTATTAGTACAATTATAACCGTTGAAACCATTAAGTAAAAAGTGTGTTTTCAAAGGAAAGCCAATATTATATACCATGTGGTACATAAGTTGTTAAAATCTAATAACCAAATGTTTCCGAGTTTTTGAGCTGTTACACGTATAATCTTAAAAAGCATGATTAAAAACAAACACCAGCAAAATCATTAAAAGACTCTTATACAAACAAACAGTGTAACAAAAAGAAATCAAAATTTGAATGCTTTTGGTTATTATTTAGATATTCACGGTTTTGTAAATAATAAACCGTAGTCAGGAGAGTTTTCTTGAAGTACGTAAAATATTTATCAACAAAATTAAGTTATAGTAGTTTTTAGCTGGTTATAGATAGCTCTAACAGTTCTACATCAGCTAGTAGAAAGGTATAAATACAGTGTAGCCCCGTTATAACGGGGACCATAAAATGTCATCGCGAAACAAGCGGGGTCGCGCTAAATCGGGGTTCAAGAAAATCACTATTCAAACGGACCCAATGTTGACCTAATATCCTAAATTAAAAAATTTTGCGATTGAATCGTTGTTGTTACAGTAGAAATTAAAACACAAATTATTTTTAGTAGGCTTTTTAATAAACAGCACAACAAATTTTAAAAGTTATTAGTATGTAAACTATAACGAGGTTATGTTTACGAAGTCGGTCCTAGGGACCGAGCCCGTGCCGAAGAGTTAATGACCCATCGCGTTATATCCGAATTCGCGTAAAATCGGGGTTTCACTGTATATACCAAGCTAACTCACTGATAAACGCATAATGAAAATATTATATCTTCTACATTAAATCAGGAGGTACAACAACGAGGTTAGGATATGATTCATCAAATAAAATCAAACTTCAAATGAAACAAAGAGAACAGGATTATATTAATAACAATAACAACAAATTATTATTAGAGTAAACTACGTACTTAGAACGAACCTACAAACCAAGCTGGCCATCAACATAGTTAATCGAACATACTTAAAGATTATAATACATTATTTCATCAGTTTAGTACCTTCGCTGTTAACGATATTTTCGGCTGTAAACCCAATAATACCTCATGAGATTCAGTGAGCTTAGGAAATTTAGGTATGTCCTAAATACAAATACTAAGTTAACAACGCAAAACAATCTTTATAATAGAAGTATAACAAAAAGCGACAAACATTGTCATGTAGTACCAATTTTACGTATATTTTGGAATGCCCAAAAAAAATATAGCAAACTCACAATCTGAGGAGAAGAAAGTAAGTCGAATTCTGATGGATTAAAGCTTGCTTTAAATTGGAAAATGCAAAAGTCTACAAATCCTTAATTGCAACTATAGTAAGGTTGTCATACGAAAGTGCAATACAATACTCAGGCTAGGTGTAGTGAACTACACCATATGCGTTTTCCTGTCTAACTGGTGTGCTACGTGCTTTTGTTCTCACGGTTGTCCACCTAGCGTTGAATACAGTATTCTCCTTTGTGCAACAAGGACGTGAAAACTAATACATCATACGTGATCGTTTAGTTGGAACCACATCTCTACATCTGAACAAATATAGCATTCTAAAAACAAGTGGCAAGATACGTCTAACTTGAACATGCCATAGGCAGTACAGTGGTGTAGGAAGGAGTTGCACACTTGGGGGTGCTTGGCTAGACGTGCATATATTACAATGAGCGATTTGAAGTATAATAAGCTGCTAAAAATTTGTAAGGAAGATACTATAAAAAAATCCTGATGGTTTAAAACCTTAAATAATATCACGCACATTTCTCAAGCATGTTTAATTGTACTCGCTACCAATTTTTCAGTTGGAATTGTGGATATACATTGCAGAGGCCTCGGAACCGGGGGTGCTGTAACACTCCCACTTTTACACATTTGAATTGTATAGCAACTATAAATTATATCAATTTTCTGGGGGAGCATGTCCCCAGACCCCCTAGATTGAACTGCTATTGGCAGCACGGGAGCTGAAGAGAGGGCGTTGTTTTCGCTATTATGTTTCAAAAATTTTTTTATAATTTAAGTTCATCACTGTATTAAACTTTAACATTTAACCGATAAACAAGAAAATGTTTAGTAGAAAATTTATCGTAAGTTCGGTTGATTCGATGTAATTATAATAAAGGTAAACCAGTTGTTCAATATGTTAAACTTACTATCTATTAACATAAATCTTTTCAATAATGTCTTCATAAAAACGTTCTCTTTCCCTTTGTGTGTTGTGGTACAATTATAGACTAGGATGCTTTTTGGAAGAATATGCTTTTGAGACCAATTTTCACGCACTTTTTCAAAGCCAATAGTAAGCACGCACCATCACCATCAATATACTTTCGGCGCTAATTTCCACGTAATATTGAAAGCCAATAGTGCTACCAGCCCAAAGAAATTACTTAAGTGTATAACCATAAAAAAAGAATAACAGATTATTTAAAAGAAAATCTCAACTGCTTAAAACTTAATCTATTTCTTCGTGTCTTAAATCTCAATGTCGTTTCAGAGTAAATGGATGGCAAGAAAACAAGTAATTAAGTGTCTTTAGAGTACTGGATAGTTTTGAAACAATTTTACGAAAAAAAAATGTCAACAATATACTTCACGTTTGCGTATATTAACTTAGAAAGGCAGTATAAAATCGTAATTCTACTCTTAAGGCTTGTGTGCTAGTTGCGTTTTCATAACGCTTTCCGTCACGACCGAAACCGTATTTCCCACGCCTAGCTGTAATTATCTCGTCAAGTACTTATCACAGTTAAGATTTTCGTAAGAACATTGTGCATAGATCTTTACGTAGTCACATTACATTTAATAAAACATTTGCAACAAACAGTCTGTAATTTAATCCGTGATTTATCAAATATGCCAAAGGTTTTAAACCGAAATGTTATCGAAGAAATATTAAGAAAAATATGTACATCCTGTACGGTTTCTACTTACATTTTTTTTTCAAAGACACCTACGCAGATGATATACGCAAGTTCATTTTCGATAACAAGAAATATTGTATTGTTGCGTCAGCGAGTCACATGACTACAGTGACGCAACGTTTCTAGAATTATCATGTACTTTGG